CAGATGTTGCCCATCTTTATTTTCTCAGGACTTTGAGAGGAAAGCACTTGTAAGGTGGGATAGCTGGGCCTCAAGCTGGAACTCCAGTCTATTAATTTTAAATGTTAAAACTATCGAGAAGCATAGGTGCACCTTGCTAGTACTGCCTTGGACCCCATTTTACCTTCAGAACTGCTTTAATTCTTCATGGCACAGATTCAAAAATGTGCTGGAAAAATTCACCTGAGATATTGGTCCATATTGACAAGACAGCATCACACAGTTGCTGCCATGATGTCAATCTCCCGTTCCACCACATCCCAAAGGTGCTCTACTGGATTGATATCTGGTGACTGTGGGGGCCATTCGAGTACAGTGAACTCACCGTCGTATTAAAGAAATCAGTTTAAGATGATTTGAGTTTTTGGGCATGATGTTTTATCATGATGGGAGCAGCCATTAGAAAATGGATATACTGTGGTGGACATGGACGGTGACAATACTCAAGCAAGCTGTGGTGTTTAGATGATGCTTAACTGGTGTTAAGGGGCCCAAAGAGTGCCAAGACAACATCTCCTACATTATTACATCAACTTTTGATACAAGCGTGGATGGATCCTTGTTTTCATATTGTTTGCACAAAGCCCTACCATCTGAATATAGCAGCAGGAACTGAACCTTATTGGATCAAACGAGGTTTTTCCAATCTTCAGTTGTCCAATATTGGTGAGCCCAGTTTCCTGTTCTCAGCTGACAGGTGCTGCTGTCGCCCATCTGGTCCAAGGATTAATGGGGGTTTTTGTGTTCGGAGATGATCTTCTGCATATCTTGCTTGTAAAAAGTGGTTCAGTTACTGTGCATTAGCATAATATTAGAATGTTAGAGTTGTAGTTCCTTATTAACAGTATCCTTGATCGTCTTACATTCATTTTCCCATCTTTGATCACTGCTATCAATGCCTGTGTTTTATGATGTACTTTCTTCTCTGTAAGTCACACCTCACTTCACTTTCACACACATGCACACACACACACACAAAGACTCTAAGGTGTCCCCGAGCAAAGGCAGCAGCTGGTCTCAGCATCAAGTTGCATGTTTTGGCAAAGAAATATCAAATATCTTAAAAGTTCCCCTAAACATTTGAAGAGTTGCCTTTAGACATGGAACACACACACACACACACACACACACACACACACACACACGCACACGCACAACACACACACAAGCAAAGTGTGTTAATAGTGTGGTATATTATATGAGCCAATGATGGAGAGAGAACACTTACCATAATAAATGACTGATCGAGCTCTAGTCTATCCCACACACACACACCACCACACCTGAGCTGTGTTTTGTCAAGTTTTGTTAAAAATGCCATGATATTTCAGGCAAACTGCCCAGAGAACAGGAAAAAACCCTGCAGGTTGTTAATTATCCACCTCCTGTCTGAGCGAAAGAATCCCGACCTTCTAAATCTCCTTCTGTCGCTAATTTTCCCCAGCACTCATCTTTTCTTTCTCTCCCTTCTTATGCAACCTGTTCATGAATACAAAATGAATGTGTCACTCAATTATTGTTTTCATACTGGAAATGGGCGAACGGCTCAGGCCAAGGTTTACACTAGAGCCCACACAAGGTTTTAAGCTTCCTTCCATTAACTTTATTTTTACTCCGGTATCAAAACAGTGAGTCATTTATCTTCCCTGCATAGGTGCATAATGTGCTGCACTTTTTCTTCTCTTGTAGTAGATTGTCCCCATGCAAGCAGAAACCAATACAAGTGCAAGCACGAACACACATGGCAACTTTCTGTTTTCTTTCCATGTTCATTTATAAACATTGTAACGTGGTGACTGCATAAGAAGCAGGGTTTGAGTCTCTTCCACCCAGATGTGCGATGTGTTTTTGTTGTTTTAGTTGCTTTCGGGGTTAAATCAGTCCCAATCCTCTATCTCTTCCAGCTCTGTGCTGTTTAGCTTGGAACCAGGTGGTTCCTGTTCTCTAACTTGTGCAATACAGTTATGTAGCTGTACAATCTCAGAAAACCGCCCACATTTCAGGTCCTTTGGATAGATTTATATGAAATATTTGTACGACATGTTGCCTGCTTTACTGCGAGCAGAGGCAGAAGACTGAATTGAGTTTATTTTTCAGCTAATCTCTTTTGTATTAAAGATAATCTTTTGCCGTTATTTGTACTTTTTGTCTTTATTCGAGCACTTCTCCTCCCACAACACCACAGCTTGTCCCAGTCCTTTGATTGACTCCAGCAGGGAAAAACAACTGAGTTTGCACTATGACAAATCCCCGGCGTGCCGAGTTGTGTAAATAGTTTTTGTAAAAGTGAAAACGAAACGCACAACATCTGTTTTGATTTGTAAAACTGCATATAACGCAAATATGGTAACTCAATTTTGATTGTTGCTTTGATTTCTGAATATAGATTAGTGAAACTTTTAGTGCAGTCAGAAAAAAATGTTACATTTACCAAAAAAAGCTGTGTGGTTAAAAAAAAAATAGGATTGAGGATGATGGCATGATGGGCGCGTCACGTCTTCTGCCTCTCTGATGCGCCCATCAGTCTGAAACAGGGTAAATCTGGACTCCTCCGCCCACATGACCCTTTATCTTTGCCCAAGAGTTCTTTATGCTCCTGAGCAAATAGACAGTGAATCAGTTTGTGATACTCCTGCTAAAATATATCTCAGTTAATAGTGATGTTACTGAACTTTAATAAACTTTTCCCAGTTTTTTTGTTTTTAAAAGATTTTTTCCTGTCATCAGCTTCATTAAGTTTAGCAAAAAGTGTGAAATTAGACTGGTTTGATCTGCTGTCTGCTAGCTGAGCTTTAAAAACCTTTACAACCTAAAAGACAAGACAGTAATCCTCTCAGCGTGGGATCCAGGCTCATTAAAATAGTCCACTTCTCCTGTCCTGAACTGTGACCCACTTTGGTTGTGACCCTTTCGGTTTAAGAAACCAGGCTGCAGAATGTATTATTCACTCTGCTGGGAAATAAACCTAAAGACAGAACTCCTTTTGAGTGAGAGCCAGGCTGAGTTTGAATGAACACAGATCCACATATTTTCATCCATCTAGTCAGCTATTATCTAAAACCACTGGGGCATTTACAGTCAGTAAGAGGAACAGAACCTGGATTATCATAGCATTGTGTCAGATTTTTAAGTAATTGCATTCATTGATTCATTAATTTCAACTAGGCCAGACTAGTAATAAGACTCCGTCTATCAATTTTCTGCTAATTATCCAATCTGGGGAGAGATATGTTCTGGACAGGTTGCTAGTATATTGCAAGGCTAAGACAGAGAGCTCATTCATGCTCTCTGTCTTAGAGAGTCACAAGTCTTTACCCAAAGACTGGACCGAGAATAATCCTGATTTTTGAGTCAAAATATAACATAATTTTACAAAAGCCCATATGAGCCCATAATCTCATCAGGAGTCTTTACATTAGTCAAACAAACAGCCCATAGACTTGTATAGGACCAGAAGTATTTTTGTAACTGCAACTGTCGCCATCTGGTGGCCTTCAGATAAAAATGCAGCTTTACGGCACTTTAGCTTGCCTCTTCTCTTCTTAGCACTTACAGCCCAATCTCAAAATTACTTTTTATTGCTGTGATTTCAGAAAGGGTTGTGGTTCTATCTGAGTTAACCTTTTCTGTTGCTGCTTCTAAGTTCAGGTCCTTTTCCACTTCTCTTGCCTACGGTGTGCCACACCTTTATGGTTTCTGCTATCTGCTCTCTCTTCCACACATTTTAAGCACAATTCTTATCACTGCTATGCAAATGACATTAAATTGTATTTCTTTTTAAAGATATTTATTAGCTACATATCTATTATACCCGCTTAGACTCCATTAAAAGTTGAAACGCTTACAATTTTCTCCAACTTAATGAAGAAAAAAAACTGAAGTCTTTGTGTCCCCAGTGGATTTTTTTTCACTTTTGCCAAATCTTCTGTCATGAGCCTTAGAGTAACTCCTGACTTATCCTCACTCGGGATGCTCATGTTAAAGATTTATGGTTTGCTCTTGCTTTTATCACTAAGTTAACTTCCAGTGTGTCACACTCTGACATGTAAATTTTTATTCATGCTTTTATTTCATCACACCTCACTTATTATAATTCATTGTTCACTTGTGCTCACAAAGCGTCTTTGGAACGTCTGCAGGTTGTTCAAAATGATGCTGCGAGTCTTCTGACTAAGTCTTATAAGTACTCACGTGTCACACTGTAGCTAACTGAGCCCCCAGCCTGAGTTCTGTGGGCTCAGTGATCCCTTTTAAAAAGCAGTTAATTTTTTTTATAAGATTGCTTTTGGCTAACTTGTATATTTAAGTTTTAGCATTTCTGTTGTGAAGCACTTTGTGATATATATAAATGTTATGTTCACTTACTTTAGCACTGGCTTCATTTTTTCAGACCCGGAAGATAGTCAGTGTTTTATATTGTCTATGATGATGCCTTGAAGATTTCCATGACAGCGATTTGTATCGGGACATCTTAAAAAAAATAAGGCCTCACAACTATAACTCAGCTATCCTGGTCAAAGAGGTTTTTTGTTGGTGGTGTTGTTGGTGTTTTTTAAGTCACCCCATTCCGAGTTGTTGTGAAGAAAATTATCAACAGAGGCCAAACTGGATTTGCAATGGAAACATGCTTTTTAATGATGTAAAGTCGGGCATTTAAACATGGGAGCCGCAAGTGGCGCCTAGAGGTACTGCAGTTTTTCCCACTTGCACATTGGTCTCATTTTTCGGCTCTCGAGGTTGCCCCATTTTCTGAAAGTACCTTCTCATTTTCCCCCTCCATCTCTGTCTCCATATGCTGCAATAACTCCCTCTTGTGTTCCCGACTGATACTTACACACATAGGTCTCCTGAATTTGAGGGGAGGATCCGAGGGTGGAGCTCCACCTCTCTGCGCTCTGCTCACAGACACAGGTATGTTTGCTTTTTTTGGGGGGGGGTTTGGAGCCAAGTCTGTAATCCAAGGCCAGCAGCAGAGCATGAAGAGATTGTCCTGACGTTGTCAGTGTTGGGAGTGACATGGGCAGTAAAGATAATCGGCTGCATAGTCATGCATCCAGATGTTTCGCTTAACCAAGATGCAAAATAGATTTTAGGAGCCTACATAACCATGGGGAGTGTTTTGGCTGATGTTTTTCTGCTTCTGCTGATCTCCACCGGACACGTTTATGGAGGTAGGTTCCTGCAGAGGAAAAAAAAAAACTCCTTGTCTTAACCTAGATGTAAAAGTTAAACCTGGCATTTGTTTCAATACATTATAGCAACGTGATGCATTATAGCAACGTGAGAAAAGTTTTTATCTTTAGATGCATGTGAAAAATAATTCTTAAGGGTTCTTGGCGTGTATTTTATACATTACTGCTGCGCTGAAATGATTTCCATCATTATAGAGACAAAGGAAGGTTTTGCTGGTGTTATTTAGGCCTGTTTATTTATTTATTTATTTTTTTACAACCTTTGATTTATTTTAAATGGATCTGGCAGTTGGTTGCTTATTATCTAATCCTGTCTAACATTGCAGACTGGTGACATATGGCATTATGATGGATTATATTTGGGGGAAAATGCTTGCCCTTATGTTTTATGCTCCAACATGGTTAGTTGAGCTGATGCCAGAAATTTTACATTTTTGGTGGTGGTAATCCTCGCAAATACAGCTTTGATCTTAACTCTTAAGCTCTTCTCTGCAATACATTTCTTTGTCCAAGAAAACAATATGTCATTTTCTCCACTACAGGTATCTGCCACTTAAATATAAACACTTAACAACATTTGGAAAGTTTTTGTAAGCGTGCAAAACTTTCTAATGGTCACCAGCTTTGCCTCCAGCAGTTACACATGTCTCTGTACCACACCTGTTTGTCAGAGCACATAAGTGACTTGCATTCACATTGGAGATGTCTGCGAGTGTAGGAAGATTATTAATAATCCAATGTTCACTGCTATCATAGAGGCAGATTAGAGATGCATGGACAGACGTGGGTTATACTGACAGCGGGCTTATAGGCTTTATGCAGAGCGGCATGCTGGGCCAGTCTGCTGACTGAGTACTTCACACTGCAGCACATAAAGTCAATAAAAGCTTTCATAGCAAAGTTTTCCCACTCAGAGATAAGAAGGGATTTTAAGAAAAAAAACATTAAGCCATTGGGACATATGTTACAGTGCAGACACATAAATGTAAATACTTTTTCTCATTCTAAAATTTTGTACCAACACTGAAATTTCCCTACATTTACAAAATATACATGAAAAAATAAATTCTGTGTTAAAGTTATCTACAGCAAGCACGCGCTAAACACCTACATGTCAGATGTGTAACCAAAAGCAAAAAAATATGTTTAGAGACCAAATACACGTCTTAACAAAGTTAATAGACCACCACCCAGAGTAAGATTTATGCCTAAATTAACATTAGCATTAGCACTCACCAAAATCACTTTTGAATGTGTCTGTAACTGTTAATCCACCAGTAAAATATAATTATTGTTTTTTTCAAACATTTTACAAAAAAGCTGAAAGAAATAGTGAAGAGCATTCTTATTATTTTTTCAAATTTAGATACCAAATTACAGTTTTTACTTGTATTGCTGTAACAGAAACAAATTCATTTTAGTGGTTGAATGTTGTCCTTGATCAATTTTTGACTTTTCTAAGAATTCCAGTGTGTCAGCTCAAATTTGCCTATAAAAAGTGAAATTAGTTTGTTATTTGCTTAATAAACACAAGTTATAAGTTTAAACAAAGTTTTGATAGATTTGTTGTTATGACAGGTAGTCTAATGGATTTATTAATCTTAACTATGAAATAGTTAAGATTATACAGGCCTGGATTGTTAATATTTTTCCTGTGCGATGTGGAAACAAACAAACTTTAATTTACCTTTAAAACGCATTGATTTTTTGCCACCCTTTTTTGTCATATAAATTGTCCCTGAATCATTTTTAGTGTCACCAAACTGCAGCTGCATGCATCCAGACACATGGCTCTGACCTCTATCCATTGAATGTCACACTTGGCACAAATGGACAGTCAGAGAGCGTGTCACTGCTTTGTAGATCAAATCGATGATGCCAAAAACACTCGTACTTTTTTGGTGCTCATTTATAGTTAGTGGTAGATATGCTGGCCTCATTGATAGATAAAAGTATGTTGTAATTACATACTTATAAAGCCAGAGACGGGCAAGCATCATCTGTATTTAATTATAAAGATCATTGGACTAAAGGTGAATAAAAACAGAAGTAATGGAAACGCTTCTTGAATTTTTGTCAGCACTAATTCATGGCTCAAGATGAATATCAAATACTTTATATATGATCTATATAAAATGCTGGTGTTGTAATTGAAAGAGATCTGCCACCACAACTGTTTGGGTTTAAACTGTAAGAAACAAATGTTTAAAATTGTGGGTAAAATTACAAAATAGCGTATTGCATGGACTGTCCTGTAATTATAAAGCAGTTTTTGTCATTCCCAGAAATAACTATTTAGAAATTATTAAAAAATAAGTAAATAAAAACCTCAAAAAACAAAAATAAAAAAAACAAAAAAAACAGGAATTTCTTTGGAAAATCTTTTTTTTCCTTTTACTGTCATTTAATTTATCTACAATAACTTTGGTGTAGTATGAATGGCCACAGAGATGGTCTTTATCATTAGAAAATACTGTGATGCCTTTTAAAAAGATGAAATTCTGCTTTAACACTATGCTTTACTGTGTTTAGTGCAAATGTAATCATGCTATCATGCTAAAATGTGAACGTTCCTAGTATGTGCTCTGCTGTATAAGTACAGATTTACTAAGCCACAGTCATGCCTCACTTTGTCTTTTTGACATCTGTCATGCAATATAGTGCACATTATTGCCTTGATTGAAACTCCTTCTAATGTATATTTTCCCCATAGTTTCCCATTGAAGTTAATGGTATGTATTTTGAACTAAAAGACCAATTTGCGTCATCTGGGTCAATGGTGGGGTCTAATGACGTCTAATGAACCCCTACAGAATGCATTAGTTGTCATTAATTGACTTCAGATAGCAGGTACAGAGTGCACATAGTGACAGATCAGTCAATGCAGGTTAATGGAAGAGTTTTTTCCTGGTAGAAGGTATATAATCACCACCAGATCGCTATGAGGGCTTCCTGTATGGTAGCAAATTAAATTAAGCTTAATCCTGAAACATGGCTGTCAGAGCATCTTTGATTAACTACACAATGTTTTAGTGATTTCGTGACAGCTCAGGCTTCAATTTATATTTGTCTTTTTTTTGTTGTTGTTGTTGCACTGCTGCAGTTTCATTCTACGGAGATGGCTACATCTACCTGCGGACAGTTGAGACGTCCATACAGACGTTAATCAATGTTCGATTTCGAACCTCCAGTCAGTCAGGGCTGCTGTTTTTGGCAGCAGGACACACAGACTTCATGCTTCTGGAGCTGATCTCTGGGTACCTGCAGGTAGGAGGTTATAACACAGAAGAAACTAATGTTCTTTATCTCAAAGACACAAAAAATGTGAGACAAAGTGTATCACTGTGAGACAAGGTAAGATAAAGGCTATATCCATTTCAATAAAATGGCTACGGATTAGTGAAAACTGTCCAGGGGCCGACGTAAAAAAAAAAGGGTAAAAATTGTCCCTCGGGCGATTTTAGCTCGCTAAATATGCTGGAATTTACTATCCAGAAGAAGACCAGACAGAAGATTAAACCCAGAAATCTTGGTGTCAAATTGCTCAGCGAGTGGGGAAAAAAGTAACCCCCCCGGCACTGCTTTAATTCCAGACAAGTTCATACACGAGTGAGGTTAAGACAGAAAACCACAATAGCTTAATAAAAATACCAAGTACAAGTCACTGGTGCTGTTAGAGAGATCTCAGTTGCATTTCTATTTGTGGAAAAGCCTTCATTTTCTTAATTTTGTTTTTTATGTACACACATATTTAACATGTGATGTGGGATATTTCGGCTTTCCTTGCAACTTTTTTGAGTTTATGAACTTTTTCCTTTTTCGCCTTCCCCCTTAATCCTCAGGTGCGTCTTGATCTGGGCTCAGGTGAGCATTCGTTGCGCTCAGAAAAGGGCATCCATCTCAATGATCTGGCGTGGCACACTGTGGATCTCACCCACACCCGCCATAATATCACTATGACTGTGGACCAGAACTCCCACACCGGCCTACAAATACAGGGACCAGATCTGGAGCTCGGTGTGGAGGATGGACTCCTTGTTGGCGGGACAGCTGGATTAAAACATCTCTATCTTCACAACATCTCCTCTGGGTTTAGAGGTTGCATGGACGAAGTCGTCTTCAATCAACATAACTTACTGTCCAGTCTCAGGCCACATTCTGGGTACAAGACCGTCCATGAGGTATCTCTGGGCTGTAGTCCACAGTTTTCTGCAACAGAAGAAGATCCTGTCAGTTTTTTCAGCTCAGAAGCGTTCATGTCACTCCCACCGTGGGATGTGCTTCAAGAGGGAGTGTTTGAATGTGAACTACATCCCGCTGCAAAAGAAGAAGAAGACGGCATTGTCCTTTATAGCTCTGACAATCAGGGAGGGTTTGTTGCCATTGAGATCGTACGCGGTCATCTGGTGGCTTCGGTAGGAGGTGGAGAGGGGAGTAAAACTGAGCTGCATTCTTTAACAAATGTAAACAGCAACCACACCTGGTACACCATCCAGCTTCACTTGCTGCCTCACAGTGTTCAGCTGAAGGTAGGCAAAGAGCTGGTGAAGGCCAGTCTGAGCCCAGAGATTCAGGTCATCCAGCTCACGGGGCCTCTCTTCGTAGGAGGGCTGGATGAAGCAGCTCGGGGACAAGCAAGGCGAGCTGGATTGATTTCTGTTCCATCTGGAGGAGAAGGAGGAGGCTCCTTTAAAGGCTGCCTCCGTGAAATCAGGGTGAACACTCAAAAAACAGGCCTACCTCATACCACAGTCACCAAGGATGTCACTGTGGGCTGTAGGACAGGGCAGGCTCCACAGAGAGCAAGTCTCACCAGCCCAACAGATCTTCCTGGGGTTGATATCACAACTGCACAGACTGACGCGAAGAGGAGTCCTAACTTCCTGATGCTGAGGAAACTAGAAGTATCTGAGGGAGGCCGGGCACCTCTTGAACCAAAACACATAAAGGTAGTGCTGATCTGTCTTTTGAGTTTAGTGTTTTTTAAGTAATCGTGAAAATAAAAATAAGCAGCATCGATATATAATTCTCTTTGGACTCTTTGCCAGGTGAATTTGGACTTCCGTAAACTGGGCATTCACCCATCCCAGTTTATGTTCAGCGTTGAGGAACAGCCTGTTCATGGCCAGCTCCGGTTGGACCTGAGTCCAGACCCCGACAGGATTTTGGACGAGGGCCAGGAGAGGACCATCACGATAGGAATTGAGGAGAAGGACCGGACGTTCAGTATGCTGGACCTCTGGCAGGGCAGGGTGATGTACGTTCACAGCGGCTCAGAGGACCAGAGTGACTTCTTCACATTTTCAGTCTTCTCCAGCAATAAGAAGGAGCTTCCTGTGTTTCTCAAGGGCAACCGTCTGCACCAGTTCGAAATTAGCATCAGTCCTGTGAACGATGCGCCTGTGCTCAGCCTGCCAGAGGGAAACTATTTTACTCTACGCGAGAAGTCCAGACGACAGGTAGGTACAGCAAAATGTCTGAGTAATTATACGTACGAAGATCAAAATTAATACATTCACAATTCCCCCAGCTGACTACAGATGTGCTGAGAGTGCTAGACCCTGACAGCAGTCCTGAGGAGCTTGTTTTCAGCTCCCTGGGAAACCTCAACACTGAGGCTGGATACCTTGAGCATCAGGATTATCCTGGCAGGTTGGTGTTACGGCTTATACAGTTTTAATAGGGCATTGCAAATCTTTTTAGATCCAGATACTGAGCTCTTTTGTGGAAGTGGCTGTTTGTGTATAATTAGTGTGGTCACTTTATACATCAGTATATTTTGCAGCATTACATAAACATTTAAGTCATTCCTAAACAGTTAATGTAATACTTTTGTGTTACCCCTTGCATTAAGGCTGAAAGCCTGCCCTTCAGTCACATCTTGCATTTGCTCTCTCTCGTGTGTCTTGACAAATTTGACCAAACTGGCAAAACTAAAATTATATCAGTGCTGATTATTGAGAACATGTCTCCCAAATTTTGTATTTCTGATGATGGGATTTTGTGTTAAAGAGTCCTTCCAAAACTTCCTGAGCCCAGATGTGGAGAGTATTTCTTTAAAGCTGGGCCAAGCCCCTCATCTGGTAAAGTCTTTGTTGGTAGGAATTTTTCACAGACATTGCACCAAGTGACAAAAACAAATTGAACCAATTTGTTTCATCCACTTGTCTTGGATGAAGTCATTTGAGTTAGTAAGCAGTATTATTCTAATTTTTCCCCTAGTTTTCATCTTACTACAACTTTTAACTAAAACATTTTTTTGTTTTTTGTTTTTTGTTTTGACCTCCAAGGTTTTCACCTTCTTATCTTCCAGGCCCATCAACTTGTTCTCCCTAAATGATCTAGAGGAGGGTAAGATCAGCTTTATCCACACAGGGGTCTCAACTTCCAGGCTGGCTCTTAGGGTTAGTGACGGGCAGAAGGTGAGTAAAATAGCAACTCATCTTTTTTTCTCATCTTATGTCTTATCCTCTCAGATGGTATTTTGCCTCTTCCCTCTCCCTTTGTCAGGTAAGCAACACAGTAGTTTTGAGGATAATAACCGTGCCACTCGAAGATAAACTGGTGAACAACACCGGACTGGAGGTGAACCAAGGCGAAGCTTCAGTCATCACCACCAATCACCTTGCGGTACAAGTTAATGTGGCTGACCCCACAGTAGAAATCTGGTATAATGTTACAGAGTTCCCACAATATGGCGAGCTCCAGAGGTTGCACTCAAGCGGCGAATGGAAGCCAGCGACCTCTTTCTCCCAGAAACTTCTGGAAAAAGAACGGATTCGATACCTCAGCACCTACCGTGGCTTACAGATGCAAAATAACATCACAGACCACTTTAAATTTAAAGTCAGTATCGGTTCCCTGGCTAAACAAGAGGCTGTTTTCCCCATCGCGGTACGATGGATTCACTTCAAGATCACACGGAGTAAGATGGAGCTCAATGGCGTTCAGGCTGCTGTTCTCACTCCCGAGGACCTCCATGTGATTTCTAAGGGTGTTAAGCTCAGTGAGAGTGACCTCCATTTCAGGATGGTAACGGTACCCAAGAAAGGTCAGCTTCTCCTCAACAACAAGGCCCTACAAAGGAACTCAACCTTCAGCCAGAGGAACATCAGTGATGGTTTGGTAAGGTACGAGCTAATCAACCGGCAACATGACGACACGAGAGACACGTTCAGCTTTCAGGTGTTTTCAGCTCACTCCAACTCAACAACTTACGACTTCAGAATCAACATCAAAGCCGAGTCGACCACCGTCACTGTGATAAGCAAAGGTCTCTCAGTCATGGAAGGAGGGAGTAAAGTAATCACCAGAGATATTCTGTTCACTCACACAGCGAGTAACCGGGAGGTCCTCTACAACATTATAGAGAGCCCCAGGCATGGGCACATAAGGCGGATCAACCTCTCCAACTCAACTTCGATTAACGACAACATTATGGCGTTCACAAATCAGGATATAACTGAGGAAAGGATCATGTACGTTCACGACGACAGTGAAACTAAGCAGGATTCTTTCACATTTCAGATAGTGGTTTACAAAGCTCACAAACACGTGAACAAGAAAGAGGACGGAAATGGAGAACAACACACCTTTAATATCTCAGTGCAGCTCGTCAATGATCAGAGGCCCGTCAGGGTTGTGGATAAAGTTTTCCACGTGGCACGGGAGGGCCAGAGATTGGTGACACTGAGTGACCTTCGTTATCGTGATGATGACTCAGATTTCGAGGACAGCTGGTTGGTGTACACACGGAGGGGGATCCCCATGGGAGAGTTGGTGCTGGCCAGTGATCCTAGCCACAAGTTGTATGAGTTCACACAGCGAGACCTCGAACAGGTAAGAGTAATAATGGTATCTTTTATAGTTTGTATATTTTTTATAAAGCCTGCTAATGCTTTTTTTTTATTGTTGGTCATGATGGCCTTCTGCTTTTTCTCCTCTCAGAAAAAGGTGCTGTTTGTCCACAAAGGAGTGAGTTTTGGGCGTTTTGTGCTTTTCGTATCTGATGGGAAGCATTATGTTTCAACGCTGTTGGAGGTGATTATTCTCTTTTTTGTTTTGTTTTTTTGGTTTAATAACAATGACAGGAAGGGTAATGTTGCAGTCACGCTGAGGAAACCTGGTTGGCCACAAAGTTATTACGAGCATGTGCAATGTGATCTTGTTGCCATTAAATCGTTGTGTTGAAGACGAGGACCAAGTCTGCGGTGACTGGCAGTCAGTGGCTGACTTCAACATTGACAGTGACAATAAATAAAACTGAGTCAGTCTGTCAGCAGTTTATAATTGATTGGTTTCAATTTGGCAATTACACACAATCTATTTTCAAATCTGTTTCTGTTCGCAAGCACAGAAATCTACATTAAACAGAAATTATTTTTAACTGCAAAATTACAAAGGCACTCAGCAGCCTTGCCTTCCTCTGGGAAACCAGTTGGTTACTTGCAATCTGAAAACTTGCAATGCAATCATCGGGCAACTATTGATTTTTTCCGAGTCATGTGATTCACTGTGATTGAACCATTAGGCCCATGATTGGCACAAATATAAAAAAGCTGAGTAAACAAAGCAGTAGAAATCTGGCAAAGATACAGATTAGGCACTCACTATAAATTCCTATGTGATGTGATTTATTTAATTTCTATTCATACCGTTTATTTGAGAAGACACTTTAGTGTGAAAATAATGAAGTTCATGTTAGCATGATTGGTCTTCTTTTTGCTGTGGGGTGCAGGTGATGGCGCAGGATCCTTACCTGCAGGTGGAGAACAACACAGGCATCATGGTCCAGCAGGGTGGGATCACGACCCTGACCTCTGCTAACCTCAGTGTCTTCAGCAACCTTGACATCAGAGACCCACACGAAGTGACATTTGAGGTCTTCATCCCACCTAAACATGGCGTGATCTGCTTTATTGACAGAGAGAGTGGGATTATAACAGAAGCAGATGCAATTTCAATATTCACCCAGCGAGACTTGATAGCAGGGCGCCTGGTATATCGCCATGATGGCGGCCACAAGTTGTCGGATAGCTTTAATGTGACAGCAAGAGCTAGAGAAAGGAGCACAGAGAGGCAGGTGGAAAGAGGGAAGAGGGAGGTACATCTAGACATTGGAGTTTCGGTAAAGATTTACCTGGAGAGTCATCAGAGGCCACCAACAGTCAGAAACAACCAGCCAGTGGTGGTGGAAGAGGGACATAATATCTCTATAAGCAGGGACAACTTAGAGGTAAGCAAAACCAAGATCCTCACATATGCAGGTAAATTCTCTGATTATAAAATATGTTTAGTTTCATATTCAGCATCACTTTTGTGATTTTCTTTTTCTTTTTTTAACCAGGTGGTCCATGAAGACAGTCAGCCCTCAGATATAGTTTTTACTGTGCACAGTCTTCCCACAGTTGGCATCATTCAGAGGTTGTCCACTGACAACAAGCATCAACGCATGAATGGAGGACAACACTATAAAGTAGGTACCTCTATAAGAGGCATTTAAATGGAAACTGTCTGACAAAGTAAAGTAGGCTAAAAGATCTCAAAAAGCAACATCATGGCGCGATCTAAAGGAGCTCAGGTACAGCTGAGAAACAACGTCACTGACAACTGTTAGCCTGGAAAGGGTTACAAATGCATTTCTAAGGCTTTTCAGGCTAAGACTGAAAATATACAAGAGTAAAAACTCATAACTGATTCCTCCAGTGACCCTTGGCGCAAATCACTTATATTAAGAGGACACTGATTGAAAAGGGTTGTCAGATATAGATCACACCATTGTCACATGCCCTTGTCTATTCCCTTGTCTCATTTCCTGTCACTTAGTGTTTGGTAAATGGACTGATTCTTATATAGTGCTTTTCTACTCTCCCGGAGTACTCAAAGCGCTCTATACAACATGCCACATTCACCCAATCACACCCATTCTCCCATGCTCTGACTCTAAACTGAGTGCTTTTTCTAACAACATTCACACACATTCACACTCCGATGGACGCATTGGAGAGCAACTTGGGGTTAGTATCTTGCCCAAGGATACTTGGCATGCACACTGGAGGAGCCAGGGATCGAACCAACCTTCTAATCAGTGGGTGACCTGCTCTACCTGCTGAGGTACAGCCACCCCTGTTTCAGTCTGCCATACTTATACTGTCAAAACTGGCCCACAAAAGTTGCACAGCACATTATTAAAGTATTTAATGGGTCACAATGAGGCTGCAGTCAAGGGGTCTGTTCACTCTCTCCCTCCATGCAGGGTATCAAAAAGCAGTCAACACCCACATTCACCCAGGAGGACCTGAACCAGGGCTTGGTCATCTATCAACAGCAGACCACAGGAAGCACCAATGATTCTGTTCTGTTGGAAGCAACCAATGGGGTGACAAAGGTTGGACCTATCAGGCTGGAGATTGATATCATCCCAATCCTGCTTCCTCTGCAGGTAGAATCCTAAAAAGGTCAAACGGAGGTCAACTTACCAAACCAGAAAGCAGTCAATCACTACTTTCTTCTACACATTTTTTGTTTAGGTGTCCGACTTGACCCTAGATGAGGGGTCTTCTATGCCGCTGACCTCTGACATCATTAAAGTCGCCAGCCATCACTTCTCTGGGATGAACTTCCTGTATCAGGTCATCAATCCACCACGACATGGACATTTGGAGCACAGCCGCATTCCTGGGATGCCTATCACGGCTTTCACACACACTGAGGTTTGACCGAACGCACTCAAAAACCAAGTTTGATTACACATGTAGCTCTTAAAGACTGAAAGACTCCATGTGTTCATCTCAGAGGCATCAAAA